ATGATATTGATTACATATATATATAATATATTTATTTATATGTAATATAAAATAAATAAATATGTAAATACGTAAAAACATAATAAAAATAAATACATATATGTGTGTAATTTCGTTCTACCTATATTTTGATATTAATATATATATATATATATATATATTGATATCAAAATACATGTAGAACGAAATAATATATATTCATATACATAGTTATATATGTGTATATCACTATATTATATATATATATATATATATATATATACACACACACCTATATGCACACTATACACCTACGTGCATTTTGATATCAATATATATACAGTTGCAAGAAAAAGTATGTGAACCCTTTGGAATGATCTGGATTTCTGCACAAATTGGTCATAAAATGTGATCTGATCATCATCTAAGTCACAACAATAGACAATCACAGTCTGCTTAAACTACCGTAATAAAACACAAAGAATGAAATGTTGCCATGTTTTTATTGAACATACCATGTAAACATTCACAGTGCAGGTGGAACAAGTATGTGAACTCCTAGAGGTGTTGGTTACAGCTGCCCTGCTCTATAAAAAACACACACCAGTTCTGGGTTTTCTTTTCACAAGAAGCATTGCCTGATGTGAATGATGCCTCGCACAAAAGAGCTCTCAGAAGACCTACAATTAAGAATTGTTGACTTGCATAAAGCTAGAAAGGGTTATAAAAGTATCTCCAAAAGCCTTGTTGTTCATCAGTCCACAGTAAGACAAATTGTCTATAAATGGAGAAAGTTCAGCACTGCTGCTACTCTCCGTAGGAGTGGCCATCCTGTAAAGATGACTGCAAGAGCACAGCGCAAACTGCTCAATGAGGTGAAGAAGAATCCTAGAGTGTCAGCTAAAGACTTACAAAAGTCACTGGCAAATGCTAACATCCCTGTTAGCGAATCTACAATACGTAAAACACTAAACAAGAAAGGATTTCATGGGAGGATACCACAGAGGAAGCCACTGCTGTCCAAACAAAACATTGCTGCACGTTTACAGTTTGCACAAGAGCACCTGGATGTTCCACAGCAGTAATGGCAAAATATTTTGTGGACAGATGAAACCAAAGTTGAGTTGTTTGGAAGAAACACACAACACTATGTGTGGCAAAAAAAAGGCACAGCACACCAACATCAAAACCTCATCCCAACTGTGAAATATGGTGGTGAGGGCATCATGGTTTGGGGCTGCTTTGCTGCGTCAGGGCCTGGAAGGATTGCTATCATTGAAGGAAAAATGAATTCCCAAGTTTATCAAGACAAAATATAGTTAGAACGAAATTACACACACACATATATATTTATTATTATTTTTTACGTGTTTACATATTTATTTATTTTATATTACATTACATCACTTTCTCTCCTCTAGCACTCCCTCCCTCATTTTTGGGGACTTTAACATCACAATCAACAACCTAAATTTCCCTGATGCCTCCCGTCTGCTCTCTGTAACCTCCTCCTTTGGCCTCACGCAGTTGTCTACTTCAGCAACTCATACAGCAGGAAACACTCTTGACCTCATCTTCACCAATCTATGTACCACCTTTAATCTTTCCACTGTTCCATTTCCTTTGTCTGACCACCACCTGATAACATTTGACATCAGCATATCCCGTACCCAAATTTGTAACCACCCTCAACTCTCCAATCTCACAGAAACCTCAACTGCCTTGATCTCCAGCATTTCTCCACCAAACTCCAAACTCTCCTTTCACTCATCTCAAATCTATCTTGCCCTAACTCTGCAACCTCACTCTACAACTCAACTCTCTCCTCTCAACTCGACATCATGGCACCTCTTACAATTAAACGCAGCAAGCACCCCCAATTACAACCATGACACACCAAGCTAACCTGTTACCTCCAAAAATGTTCTCAAACTGCTGAATGCTGCTGGAGAAAGTCTCACTTTGCATCTGACTTCCTCCACTTTAAATTTATGCTACGCTCCTACAGCCTGGCTCTGTCCTCTGCAAAAGTAAATTACTTTAACACCCTCATAAGTACACTTACCCATCAACCAAAACACCTATTTCACACCTATTTCATGCTCTTTTACTCCCCCCTCCTTCTACCACCTTGTCCGCCACAAACTTTGCATCTCACTTCACTGAGAAGATCTCTACAATCAAAAAAGAGGGCACTAATTTCTCATTCCTTCCCCTACCAATACATTACCCAACCCCACCTCCTTCTACACTCATTCGCACTTGCTACAGCAGAAGAGGTTTCTGCTCTGCTTTGGTCCTCCAGTATCCAATGATTTAATTGCTGCTAAATCTCGCGGCCATTACTCTATCCTAATTCTCCTTGATCTTTCTGCTGCCTTTGACACTGTTGATCATCAACAGCTTCTTCGCATTCTCTGTAATTTTGGTCTACGGGATACTGCTCTCTCCTGGTGCTCCTCCTACCTCTCCCAACGCTCTTTCAATGTTTCTTTCTCTAACTCTTATTACTTGATTATGTATTTGCCCTTGGCTTGCCTTGCATTTATTAATCAGTTGCCTTCAGTTCGTGTGGGCTCAAAGTAACCTGCCAGCAACTATTGTCATCATCGGCTACTATAAGCTGTTCTTGATACTGCCTCCTCTGACAAATTGTCCCTGGGCTCCTTTGTTGGTTCTTGCACCAGGTTCCCATCCCTGCATGCCTGTTATTATTCAAGTTCTTTCCTTGCCTTGTTCATCTTTGATATTAGTACTTACTGTACTATTCTCAACCACTCACTTGGATCAGGTTGCAAAAGTCTCGTTGTGTGACTGGAGCTGATCCATCCTGGTCTCCGCAGGGTGAGGTACCTGTTCAGGCGATGAGTCAGGCTGCGTTACATCAGTCTGAGACTGCATGGCCTCCAGTCCCACCGTCACCGCCATTTTGGGTTGTGGCTGCTGCTATAGCATGGACCCGATATCCCTGAACCCTGAAGATGGCTCCTTAGTTGGCCACTACATCCGTCTCCCCATGCTCGATGTCTGATCATGTAGAGAAATGGTTGGGAGAGCTTCCAGCCCAGAGCCTTCAAAAGGCTTGAGGCTGCCAAGCAGGTCAGACAGATCTAGGCCTTTGGGTGGTTTGTAGGCTCCAGACCTACGCTTCTGTCATTTCATTTTAGTATAGGTTTTAGTAAATATAATAATTTCCATTCCAGTCAGAATTTTTGTCATTTTCACAGAATTTTGGCAATTTGGACAAAAAGAGTTTTTAGTGAATTATCCTGTCAGTCTGAGAAAGGATCTCTCTACTGGGACATAATGTCTTTATTGAGATTTATATATGACTCAGTAGCTAAATTATTTTATTAGCTTTGTGCTGCAACATCTTTATTATTTAACTTCCTACATTAGTTGATTATATTAGTAAATGTTATTTTGTGTACTTTTAAAGAGTAATAGGAATAATAGACAAATATTCTTGCTAAACATTTAGCATACTTATTAATTAGAATATTATTGTAATACTTAGAATAAAGTGTTGATTTGCTTACATAGTTTGTCTTCTGTAAATCCAATCTTTAATATTCATCAAAAGTTGTTTTTCAGTCAATTATTGTCACAATTTTTTTACAGTATATGCTGTATATTCTCATATATCACCATGAATAATATACTCATATGCATAATCTTTATTTCCATTTGGAATGTAGTACTTGTACTTTATATAATTACAATTCAAAAATGTAAAAAATAGATTGATTGTTTTTGGTTTATTTTTAGTTATGATTATTATTGTGCCATTTAAAAATAAAATTATATTCGTTTCCATGTAGCTTCTAAAAAACTTTAGCTTGTAGCATAAGCATTTGGAACTCTTTATGGGAATTAATTTTAACTCTAATGCAATTCACCCCTTTTCTCCTTTTTTTCTGATGCAAGACAAAGCTGCCACAAGGGGCCAGTGTGATCAAAACTATTAGTTAAATACAAGTAAAATTTCTAAATGCATCCATAATCTTTTACCTATAGGTCGATTTAGCAGATCTTATTAAATATTCCTTTAAGCAATGAAGTAAAATTCATATTTTCTTTTATTATACATTTTTTTTTATTATGCAGTGACATTGTTTATATCATCAAAATACATTGTTAAAAGACCACTACAGTGCCAGGAAAACATACTCGTTTTCCTGGCTCTGTAGGGTCCTTGGGTCCCCCTCACCCTCTGGGCCCCCCTCCCGCCAGGCTCTATGGTGAGGAAGGGGTTAATCTCTTACCTTCTTTCCAGTGCTGGGGACTCTCCTCCTCCTTTCCCTGTCATCTGCTGAATGCGCATGTGCGGCACGAACCACACACACATTCAGTCAGTCCATAGGAATGCTTTCCTATGGACGCTGGCGTCTTCTCACTGTAAAAATCACAGTGAGAAGCGCGGAAGCCCTCTAGCGGCTGTCAATGAGCCAGCCACTAGAGGCTGGATTAACCCATTTGTAAACATAGCAGTTTCTCTGAAACTGCTATGTTTACAGCAGAAAGGGTTAATCCTAGATGGACCTGGCACCCAGACCACTTCATTAAGCTGAAGTGGTCTTGGTGCATATAGTGGTCCTTTAAACATGTATAGATATACATCTGTAATTGTGCATACTTTACAAAAATGCAATGATGTGGATGTATGTATTGTAGATGTCAATTTAGAACATAAAAGTGGTAACATAACTAATGACTGAAAAGAAAACATGCACTAAGTGACAATTTGACATATGTGCTAGTAAGGCATAATCTGTATATGTCTAACTGTATTCATAGCAGCATGGAGAAATCCCATTTGGAGCTTACAGGAAAATTGCATAGTGAGAAAATGTCTATACTTTTGCATTTGCACTGTACTAGGGGATATTTCCCATATATTTAATAAGTATATATATATATATATATATATATATATATTGTGATAAAGTGAAGGCAGAGAGGCCTTTAACATTTAACCCCAGGGGAAGTACGTGTTGTATGTGTGGTGTGCAACACAAAGCTACATTTAGTTATGGGCCCCTGGGGTGGAGCATTTGGAGAGCAGGGTGGGCCAATGCTCCACTCCTCAGTTTATACACAACTGGGAGAAATCAGGTTATATATATATTTTAATTGGGGTAGCCCCCAAATTATTGGGACATATAAAAAAGACAACTCTGTTCCGCAGAGTAGCTGTTGACATTATAGTTGTGCAGGAACTTTGTTTACTCTACAGAACCTCGGGCAAATCGCACATCCCCGTGGCGGCGAGTTTTCATGCGGATGTCATCCATATCAACTTTCGATGCCAGTTTCTGCACCTACCATGGTGACCACGGGTAACAGGGAATCAGGGTTCCATTGCGTACAGGAACCCTACCACATTCAAGGAAGGCAGCAGGCACGCAAATGACCCACTCCCGATGCGGGAAGTTAGTGACGACAAATAACGATACAGGACTCTTTAGAGGCCCTGTAATTGTAATGAGTCCACTTGAAATCCTTTCACTCTGATCAATTGGAGGGAAGTCTGGTGCAGAGCCACTGACCCGTGCGTGCTGCAGCTGAAACTCCACTGTCGCCTGCTGCTGCTCGCAAAATCTCATGAGACGGTGAGCAGGAAGGCCGAAGTTATGCTACAGCGCAGACAGGCAAGCAGCAGCAGGGTGACAATGCCAAAAGCACGCACAGCTGCTACAGTGAATGTCACATCCTGTTCCAAGTTGCGGTCAGTCTGGTGATGGCTTCTGGTTTCAAGTACTCTTTTTACTGAAGCTGCATCAGGGTCCTGGTATGTGGCTGCACAAAGGCTGCTGCTCAACACCAGGGGGCATGCGGTTACACTGCATCAGACCCTGCTAATCCATTCCACACTGTGACTCCTAACTTCAACATCAGGCATACTGGGTCCCGGTCATCCGTCCACTGGGGTACGGCCGCTCCGCTTTTGCACCATGCTCCCTCTTATGCTGTGCTGGTGCCTCTATGCAACCAGCGCCTCTTCCTCCAAACTGCACACGTCACTCGCATGACCTTGATTCCATGTGGGGTCTAGGACCTCATCATCATCCACATCATCTTCCACCCACTCCTCAACCCTGCCCTCCTTGCCGGTATGCACACTGCAGAAAGCCACATCAGTTGGCACCTGTGTAAAGTCTGCAAAGGACATATGGAAATTGTTTTACAATTGTATCCAGGCAACAGTTTTCCCTATAAACTGACCTCTCAGTTTGACTTGTGAGGGTATTGCCCCAGAATTACAATATTGTTGTAGTACCTCTTAGCTATTGATAACTGGTTTAAATATAGCAGCTTGTTATCTGGTAGTTTCTAGTGTAGAAAATATCAATCTGTTTTCTATCACTTAGATCTGTGTTACAAGTGTTGTAGGTGTGAAACAATATTACAAGTGACGATGTAGTAAATTCGAAATCAAAGTTACGCTTCGATTTGACTCTCAGATATGAAGTGAACACCCCAAATACACTATTTAGAGCAGCCCCCCCCAAAATTGACATTTTAAGACTCCAATGTAAGCAGCAGATTAGCAGCAAAACAATTAGAATGTTTACCACTGCGCAGTAAGCGCACTATTTGACGCTTCTATTTGACTCAGATATGAAGTGCACCGCAGGCCCCAAAATGTGCTATTTAGCAGATTAGCAGCAAAACAATAAGAATGTTTACAAGTGCGCAGTAAGCACACTATTAGACGCTTCTATTTGACTCTCAGATGTGAAGATGAGGCCCCAAAATTTACTATTTAGCAGATTAGCAGCAAAACAATTAGAATGTTTACAAGTGCGCAGTAAGCACACTATTAGACGCTTCTATTTGACTCTCAGATATGAAGTGCACCCCACTAATGTACTTTTTAGCACTCAAAAAATTTTAAGTTTTAAAACTGCAATGTGACAGCAGTATTTGACGATTCTATTTGACTCTCAGATATGAAGTACACCCCACTAATGTACTTTTTAGCAATCAAAACATTTTTAAGTTTTAAAACTGCAATGTGACAGCAGTATTTGACGATTCTATTTGACTCTCAGATATGAAGTGCTCCCCACTAATGTACTACCCCACTAATGTACTATTTCGTACCAAAAAAAATTAACTTTTTAAAACTCCGATGTAACCGCGGTATTTGAAGCTTCTATTTGACTCTTAGATATGAAGTGCACCCCACCCCACCAATGTACTAGTTTGCAGAATTATTTCCTAAGCTGTCCCTATCAGCGGCAGCATCCTCTCCCTACACTAATAAGACCGCATGTGCGTGCGGCGCTACGTGACTCCAGCTTATACATAGAGGCTGGGTCACATGCTGCACTGGCCAATCACAGCCATGCCATTAGTAGGCATGGCTGTGATGGCTTCTAAGGGCACACAAGTCAAACGCTTGTTGATTGGCTGCCCTGCAGCCTTTGAAAACGCGCCATTAATTTGAACTCCAACCCAAACATACAGTGATATGTCCGTGTTCGGGTCCGGGGTCCAAAAAACCTAATGTTCGGTTCAAACCCGAACTTTTCAGTTCGGGTTCACTCAATTCAAGTAGGTACCGATAATAATGTTGACGAATGGAGTATTTCAGTTCTTCCATTATTCTTATTTCTTTCCTCTTTACAGGCATACCCCCACTTTACATACACTCACTTTAAGTACACTTGCGAGTACAGACATACCCGTGTCTCTTCTGTCTGCGAGTGAAGAGGAAATGGAAGCTTCTATTCTCGCCCAGTGCAGCTCAGCTCAGTTGGGGCAACAACTTTTCACACCTTCTGACATGGCACAGGTTAATCATCACAAATTTATAATATTTACTCCTATTTACTCCCCGGAATTGTCCATATTCTGCAATTGGCGCCATCCAGTGAAAGGGTTTACCCTGCCATTTTCTATAACTATGACTTAGCAGATTAGCTGCATTAGCCACAATTCTGAAGATTCAAAGTTAAACCATAAATGCTTAACCCCTTAAGGACCGAGGACGGTTCAGGACCGTCATCGGCATTTTTGCCTTGCCGACCGATGACGGTCCTGAACCGTCCTAACGGTCTGGGGGTACTTACCTGATCGCCGTCGTTCCCCCGGCGGCGATCAGCGTGGCTCCGGTTGTGGGGAGACTGCCTGCAGCCCAGACAGTCTCCCCGCGGCAGATTAGGACCCCTGTGGCCATGTGATCGCTTAACACAGCGATCACATGGTCACAATAGGTGTCCATGTGTCTGCCTGCAGGGGGACTGTCTGTGCTGACAGGCAGTCTGCCTGCTAGTGTAAAATCAGAAAAAAAAATAAAGTTAGTGTTAATTAAAAAAAAAATAATAATTATATATGTGTATATATGATATATAGACATATATTATATCTATATAATATATGTCTATATATCATATATATAATGCCATACTAAGTGTATTTTTATATTAATATGTACTTATATTAATATAAAAAATACACTTATAATTAAATTACACACGTATATATATAATATATATAATAACTATATATATTGTATATATATTATTATAAAATATAAATAATAAGTAATTTAAATTAAATAAATTTTTTTTTAAATAATAATAAAAAAATTTAAAAAAATTATATAGCTATATGAAATTTTATTCTAACTGTATTTTAAAATTAATATATATATATTTATATCAAAATACACTTAGAATGAATTTGTATATATATCTATGTATATAAAAATAAATAAAAATAATAAGAAATATACATACGTCCATATACAAAATTACATAAATAATTATATAAATATACACGTAGACTTCAAATATATAAATATGCATATATATTTAAATTCTACGTGCGTATTTATGTAATATTTTTACATAATTCAGTAATTTTATTGATTGCAATTTGAGGGACCTGCCTGCCAACCCAGGCCGAAATTCCAGAGAATTTAATTTGCTAGCACTGTATTTTACCCTGTAACGTTCTACGACACCCTAAAACCTGTACATGGGGGGTACTGTTTTACTCGGGAGACTTCGCTGAACACAAATATTAGTGATTCACAACAGTAAAACATATCACAGCGATGATATTGTCAGTGAAAGTTACTTTGTTTGCATTTTTCACACACAAACAGCACTTTTACTGATGATATAATTGTTGTGATACGTTTTCCAGTTTTTAAACACTACTATTTGTGTTCAGCGATGTCTCCCGAGTAAAACAGTACCCCCCATGTACAGGTTTTATAGCATTTTTGAAAGTTACAAGGTCAAATATATGGATCAAATATTTTTACATTGAAAATGGCCAGGTTGGTTACGTTGCCTTTGAGAGCGTATGGTAGCCCAGGAATGAGAATTACCCCCATGATGGCATACCATTTGCAAAAGAAGACAACCCAAGGTATTGCAAATGGGGTATGTCCAGTCTTTTTTAGTAACCACTTGGTCACAAACACTGGCCAAAATTAGCGTTCAATTTAGTTTTTTTACTTTTTTCACACACAAACAAATATGAATGCTTACTTTGGCCAGTGTTTTCGACTAAGTGGCTACTAAAAAAGACTGGACATACCCCATATTGAATACCCTGGGTTGTCTACTTTAAAAAAAATATGTACATGTGGGGTGTTATTCAGAGATTTATGACAGATAATAGTGTTACAATGTCACTATTGATAAATTTTAAAAATGTATGTTTTGAAACCGCAATATCCTACTTGTACCTATAGCCCTATAACATGCAAAAAAAAGCAAAAAAGCACGTAAACACTAGGTATTTTTAAACTCAGGACAAAATTTTGAATCTATTTAGCAGTTTTTTTCATTCGCTTTTGTAGATGAGTAAAAGATTTTTCAAGTAAAAGTCAAAAAACATGTATTTTTTTCAATTTTTCATCAGATTTTTTTATTTTTTTTAAATTAAAATACATGAGATTATATAAATAATGGTATGTAAAGAAAGCCCCTTTTGTCCTGAAAAAAACAATATATAATTTGTATGGGAACAGTAAATGAGAAAGCGGAAAATTACAGCCAAACACAAACACCACAAAAGTGTAAAAATATTCCTGGTCGCAAATGTACAACATCGCAAAAACAGTCCAGTCCTTAAGGGGTTAAAGTGATGAAGAGTTGTTTGTAAACAAAGTGTGCAACTAAGCTGCTAACAAATACAAACTGACACTGTATTGACAGAAAATGGCCCAGTGGGCAGGTTTATTTTACTTTTCCTCCCAGTTTAAGGTTGTCAGATGAGTAAAACATTAAAGATAAATGGTACAATCTGGAATGAGATTTTTCTTTTTACGGTTTGTTTTAACTAAATAAAAGCACACTGGAAATCACTAAATAAATCACTAGAGATAAAATCACTGGAAATCTGCAGTTGCAGTATCAGTTATGCCTGTAAATTACTATTGCAATGCAGTATATGCAATGGGAAGTGAAAAAAGGT